TTTGGGGTCATGAGATTTTGCTGAATTGTCAATGTAACATTTTGAGAAACACAGGAAATAATGATTCAAATGTCTGAGCTTATCTTCGTATGCGAAGGCTACAAAGGTCGTTCATATGCGGCTGGAAATAAGTCACAACCCCTGCAAGTAAAGCGCTGTGACAAATAAACCTTGGCAGAGCCTTTGAGATGTCTTGGGACAAAACTTCATTCTATGTATTCAATTTCAGAGCATTAATGGCTGGCCGTGCAGCCTATTAGCCTCGTCCACTGTCGCGAAAATCTCGCAATTAACAGTGAACGGGATTTGGGCCTGCTGAAACATAAACAGTACACATGAAAGTGCGCAACGAGCCTCTACACACCCCGCTAACCGAGCCGCTGCACTCAGCATAGTCACAGAGTAGGTGCAATTAAGGGAATGTGCTTCGGTTTTTCGAGATTTTATACTGAAAATGTGAGTATATCTTAGGAAATAATACGCTTGATTATAGTAATCAAAGAAACCTGTAATGGAACTTTGTAGAGATGCAAGAGTTTACTTGACTCTCATGTAAGTATTAGGGCTGAACGCGCATCACACTGCTGAGAGTCCCAGTATTTTGCTGAATTGCCTTTCAAGTGCTAGCTGCATTACATTTAGAACTTAAAATTTAGGTACCAGTGATAATGAGATTCAGAGTCACCACTTAAAAATGCCGACGTTTTGGTCAAAGGTACTTCTGCTGGAGAACTGAATTCGCCCCAGGGATTCCCTATCCAAAATAGTGTTCATTCGAGATGCCACAAAACCCACACCCCGCAAGTGCGGAATTTCTAGCATATAATAGTTTTGCCGGAACCTACCAAATATTATCCTTATGAATGCGGACTGCGTGTTTTTTGACATACACAAATGAGGTATGTGCGGTATGAGCCATAATTCCTGCAACTCGGAACAAGTGAAACCACTTGTCCACAGCCGTGACCAATGGCAAAAGTTCTTGATCATAGATCGAGTATTTCTGCTGGGGGGTTCATGACTTGGCTAAGGCAACTGATGGGCTTGCTGCCTTGTTCCAGGACAGCTCCGATTGCATAGCCGGAAGCGTCCCTGTATTACTCGTAAGGCTTTGTGGTTTCAGGGGCATGTGAGGTAGTGAAATCGACTAAGCTCTGTTTGAGCTGCCGTATCGCTTTCGTTTTAAGCTCTGTTCAGTTGAAGCCAGCTTCTTTATGCGTATGTTCAACCAGTGAACGGGCGACGTCCGCACAGTCAGATCCCATGAACATGCAGCAATAATGAATAGTGCCGAGGAACTGGAGCACATGCGTCTCATTCTCCAGCACTTCCCGCCAGTGCCGGATGGCTTCGATCTTGTCTTCAGCGAGTTTGATGCCTTCAGCACTGATGGTATAGCCCAAATATGTGATTGCTTGCTTTGCGAACTTGCATTTGCGTGGGTAGGTTTGATGTTTGAGGAAAGTACTTGGAACTTGTCGCATGAGGGAAACGTGCACAGGGAAGTCGGGACTTTAGATAAGAACGTCACGTAGGTACATTATGATGCCTTCTTCTAATGAAGTTTGTAGATAGGCATTAATGTTGGCCTGGAACGTGGCTGGTGGACCCTTGAACGCAAAGCATATAAGTTGATACTCGAATAACCCCAGAACGGAACGGAAGCTCGTCTTTGAGCGATCTTCGTTAACCATTCGTATCTGATGGAATCCTGCTTCACGGTCCAGAGTAGAAAAATACTCTGCACCTCCCAGCATTTTTAGAATTATTTGAATGGGAGGTACTGGAAAATCAAGGACTATCGTAAGGGCATTCAAAGCCACGGTACACACTAAGAAATCTCCGGAGAATCGTGCAGGTCCGCACCACATTGTCAATCCCGCCACGACACGGTCAATGCGCAATTGCTCCCCAGTAGCTACGGTGAACCTATTCTCTTCTGGAAGTCGCCGCACTTTAACCTGAAGCCGTTCGTGTCCAGCGCCTCACATGAACTCCCTGTCACCTCAGCTTGGAGTACCGCTGTAGGACCCACATAACACAATGCTCCCCCTTAGTTGTAAGCCTCCTTCGCACAAGTTACCCGCCACCCCTGCGGGGGAATCTCTGCTTCTCCTTGCCTGTACCCTTCTTCTGTTACCTATGTAGGCTCCCCACTGCTGTCCGTCTTCTCGTGCGGAGCCTCTTCGTTCTAAATCGGTGCAGGACCGGACTCCCACCGCGTTTCCAATGGTAGCTGACTCCTTTGCGCGTCCTCATCTCCTGTATTAGCTCTATCCTCCTTGTTGAGGAGTCTGTTCCCTCACTCGAAGAAGACTGGAATGCATTAGGGCTAGTTGCTACTGTACACATCACCCCTTTGCCATGGCTAGTTGGCCTAGAACGTTCGTCTCCAGTCCCGCCTAGGCCCTGTCGTTTAAACGTTCAGTCCTCTCAGCGCTGGGACGGGTGGGCTGTCTTCTACTTTTTCCCTCTGGCTTACTCCTGCCTCGGTATTATGTAGGACAGCCCCGAGCATAGTGTCCCACACCTCCACACTACAGTTCTCCCCCGGACGTTTTGTACGTTCTCCCTTGCGGGGATGAATGCGTACCGGGTTTCCTCAACCCCTACACTCATAACAGTTCCCGCGTTTTCTTCCAGACCGATTTTCGTTCACCTGGTTCCTATGGGGTCCAAACGTCTCCTGTTGAGTCGGGCCGACAACGCCTTCGTTGCGCAGATGCACCCCTTACCGCGCTAGGCTGTCTCGGGGTGAATCATTACGACGAATATTGCAGTCTTTAGTATTGCTAGGTCCCAAGAAAAAAGTTACCATCCCGGAGCAATCCCCAAATGTAGTGCACAACGTTCTCTGGTGCTACTACGTTACTACCTGGCCCACGAATAGGGCGCCCTCCTAACAAATCCTCTATATTCGACTTATATATCATAAAACAATGCCAAATAATCAAGAAACCATCATCTTTCGAGTCTGTCTATCGAATTTTCTTAAAACGTCCCCAATCATAGCTCTCTGTAAACGATGGCAGTTGCATGCGAAGACTGGAGAACCGCTGGTCAGTTGACCCGGTTGGGGCGGTGCCCCGCACCGGTGCCGGTGTCACCGCCAGCCCCAGTCTCATGGTATTCACAGGCAGTTCTAGTTACATATGCTATATTTGTAGTGCACAGCATCTACTGCTGCGACTACGCTGCTACCTGCCCCCTCGAGTAGGAGCCTCTGATAACCGTCTACCTTCGGCGCGTTTCCTTGAAACAGTAGTCCAAATATCACAAAATACAGTTGTTTATAGTTTTTCAAAATCTGTTTTTTTGAAAATCCCCCCCACTCGGGGATCTCGCCTCCTAGGCCCTGTGGGGAGGAGGCCTGCACCGGTGCCGGCACTAGCGCCAGCTCCAATCTCCAGGTATTTACAGACACGTCTAGTGTATACACGCTAATTCGCCGACAAATTGCCTTACTTCGAGACTAGCAAGAGGGTCCTCTCTTCGAGCCGTGTTATGACCTCTTGTAGGTCACCGGCTGGCTGACTTCTATAGGCCACCAGCAAGCCCTATTGTAGTGCCTGTGCATTACAACTTCCCCCTTTTTGGACTGAACAGACCCACCCAAAACACATTATTTTTACCTTTTCAATCCCTATTCTCTTCTGAAGCTGACTCCGTGAGCGCATGCGGTGCGCAGCGCTCCCTCCCCAGTCCTCGTGGAAGGTTGCCCGTCGTGCGGGCGGCAGAAGGTGACGGGCCCAAACCTCTACGCCCCGGAGGGACCAATATTGTTTCGAGCCTGAAGACGTCTTCGTTGGCGGCGGCGCCAAGCGCGAAGCAAAGCCGGGCAGCCTGTAAGGTGGTGAACGGGTTCCCATGTGGCTTGATCTTCAGGGGTCCCGCGCCACTTCACGAGGTACTGGGCTTCGCCTCCCGAGCCGCGTTGGTCCATAATATAATCGACTTCATACTCCTCTGTTGGATTGCCTGCTGTATCGCGGATAGGAGGCCAGGCGGCGTCGGCTTCCGGGAGAACCAAGTTGGGAGGGCGGGGACGGTGGGGAACTAGCTGCGAAACGTGCGAAACGTTGTGGCATTCATAGGAGGGAGGCAGAGCGAGACTGTAAGCGACGGTCCCTTTTGCATTCGATGACTTCAAAGGGTCCGCGGTAACGGGGCTCGAACTTAGGGCAGCGGTTCAAAGGCGGTAATTGCTTGCTACTGAGCGAGACCTTGTCTCCTACTGCATACTCCACGGCTCGGCGCTTTGTGTCTGAGTAGTACTGCTGCCATTTTGCCTTCAGGATGTGACTCTGTACTCTATCGCAGAGCTGCCGGAAAAGCTTAATCATCAGAGGAGTGAGCGTAGGAGCTAACGCGCCGGCGCATAGGAATTTTTGCTTGCTGGGTTCCGGAGTTGAACTTTGCCACCTCGAGCTCAAAGGCTTAAAAGGGGGATGTGAGGGAGCTCCAACCCCTACGGGACTCCCGCATGTCGGGCCAACGGTCTTCACGCGTCTATATATAAGCCCATGGTGTTACTACTGAGTGTGTATGCTGTCTTGGTGTTCTATTAGTTCATTAGTGTTTCATGCAACTCATGTGTAGGCACGAGAGCGGCTTCCTCCTCTTGCTCGCCTCGTGCCAGTATCTGCCATGTGAAAACCCCAAATACGATGGCTCTGGCGGATACAGTCAGTGCTAATTTCGCGCTGTATAAACCACTCTGTGCGTTCATTGATTCCCAGGTCGTGTGTAAACACTTTTTTGTTTTTCTGTGCAATACACCCAAGGGAACCATATACTAATGCTTGCACTGACACTTTGTACCCACGTTTCTCGTAGAACGTCTTAAGGCTTTGATACTTTTCTTCTTTGTGGAGACGAGCTGCGCCAAACGAGTTCTTCTAGTAGTTCTCATACGCAATAGCTACATCAGCTATCGTGATTCGCTTCCGCTTCTCGTCCCTGAGTATAATGTCCGGCCTTAGTAGGGTCTCCATATCCGCTTAACTGCCATCTATTTGCAAGGTCTTCTCCCGATTCATCGCGCTGCGCTTAAGTGCTGTTGTAATCCTCACCAGGGCCTTGTTGTGCCGCTCTTTCATTTTGCTGTCAAGGCTGTGAGGACAGTGGTTGAGCACATGCGCAAGTGTTTCGGGATCTGCAGTGCAATGGAGACAGCGAGATACCTTAGAAGCTTTAATCTTCTTGAGGTATGCTCTCGTGGGAAGTTGTGCAGAGCGTGCCCTCAATGCAAAGACGACCTCCTCCGGCTTCAGCCGGGTACATCTCCGCAAGAAAGCGTTGCTAGCTGCTGTTTGGTAGGCCACAGATTTCCCTTGGTCTACCTTGTTCTTCCACACCTCGCGGTGTAGCCCTGCCATGTGTTGTTTGGTACCCCTAATGAGGTGCTGCTGGTCTAGATCAGAGCCGTCTGCCGTCTTCAGCAGGTAGTTGCCGTCACTCCCAGTATTGATTCGCGTTTTGCTCACCGATAGATGTCCTGAAAGCTCTGACCAGAGGCTTCTAATGTCCACCGTCTTGCTTCTCCTCTTGAGGCAGCCAATATCCCTACCGTTGAGGTAAGCAAGTATTGCTGCTCGGTCGCTATGTTCGCTGTCGGGTGTGTAAACGAACGCCCGTTTGATTACCTCGAGCACTTGGCCTTCTGCAACTGCTCGGATCGTGCTGTTCGTGTTGTTCAGCATCTGGATGGCATGCCCTATCTGCGTTGCCATTGCGATCGTCTGCAGCGATGTGCACCCCAACCCTCCATTAGACGTGAGCTGGTGAAACATCTCTGTTGTTGTGCTCTTCGAGAGCTTGAACGCCGTCTTTAGGACGGCGCGTATCTGACGATCAAACAGATCCAGGCGCTTCTTATAGGGGTAACAGTGGCTGAGGTGATAGTCAAGCCTGGGTATGATAAAGGTGCGCACCGCATCCAACTTCTGCCAGGGGAGTAGCTGGGACCGCATGAGCTTGGTAATGCCCTTTTTCGGTTTGCTCATGACTCGAAGGATTTGTCCTTGGTGCACTGGGGTCTCCAGTGCATCCTTCATTCCCAGGTATTTGTATGTCAAGGTTCGCAGCAGTCAACGGATTCTTGCCAATCATGACCTCGAAGGTAGAGAACTCGGTGGAGGAATGACTTGTTGTGTTGTAAGCAAGTTCCAAGGCCGGAAGCAAACGCTCCAACTTGCGTTCGTCAGATTGGATGTAGGTACGAAGCATCTGATCGAGTGTGCGGTTAACTAGTTCAGTTTGACCGTCGCTTTGGGGATCGTAGGACGAGCACATGCACCATTTGATGTTAAAGCGGCTACAGAGTTGTTGCCAGATATCCGACTGAAAGCGCAGTTCGCGGTCCGACATGAGCACCTCTGGAAAACCGTGATAACGGATAAGACGGTCTGCGAGAAGCTCCACGGTTTTCTGCTGCTGTGAAAGACTTCTTTGCAGGAACGAAATGAGCCATCTTGCGAGAAGCTCCACGGTTTTCTGCTGCTGTGGAGGGCTTCTTTGCAGGAACGAAATGAGCCATCTTGGGAGGCGACCATCACAAGAATTGAGTCGTGCCCTGTCGTTGTAAGGGAAAGATCTGTGACAAAGCCAAGACTCACCTGTGCCCACCGACGAGAAGGAATGAGTGGCTGTTGAAGAAGGTCTGCAGGTTTCTGGTTAAGGGACTTTGACGCTCGGCAGTGAATGCATGATTCAATATAAGCAGTAGTGTAGGCGCGCATTCCTTGCCAGTAGTAGTGCTTGCTGAGAGCCGCAAAGGTCTTTTTCTGGCCTCGATAGCCGGCTGTGACATGGTCGTGATGTGAATGCAGAGCCCGACTAAGGAACTCAGGAAAGTGTGATATGCAGATGCGCCACAGTCCATGAACGCGGATGTGCAGGTAATGCTGCACGTAGCGGAAGGTGAATTGGCGATTACGAAACTCTATTTGCAGAGCTTCTCCTGGTTGGTCTGCTGCTACTTTGTAGGGAGCGCGAATAACGGGACACTTCGAGTGAGCTTGCGGCCATTGGAGCGCATCAGAAATATCTGCTGGTGTCTTCGTTGTAGGGGTAGGGTGTTCCACCTCTGGATTGGGTTCCGGCGGCGAAGGTGAAGCTGCAGACGGCAGACTGCGTCGTCTCGGTCGTCGCGAACGAATTCCGGCGAGCTTCCTGTAGTTGGCAGGCCGACCACGAGTGCGAGGAGCCACGCGCGCTTGTGCTACTGCAAGCATCAGGGGTGTCGGTGGTGTGTCGTGCGAGCAGGTGTTAGAGAGATCGGGACGGCGAGACAAAGCATCAGCCACTTGACTACGTGATCCTTCAGCATAGGTGATGTGCAAATCCGGGAACTCGGCGAGAAAATCTAACCACCAGCCGGTGCATCCGCACAGAGGCTTCGATGTTTGGAGACGTTGGAGATGCGTGAGTGCTTTATGATCCGTGTAAGCCGTTACCTTGGAAACACGGAGCAAGTGTGACCACTTGTCCAGAGCCGTGACCAACGCCAAGAGTTCCTCATTGTAGATCGAGTATCTCTGTTGTGTTGGGTTCATGAATTGACTGAGGAAGCCGATGGGCTTGCCGTCTTGTTCCAGAACTGCTCCGATCGCATGACCAGAGGCGTCCGTGTGTAACTCGAAGGGTTTCGTGGTGTCAGGGACTTGTAGCGAAGTCGATTAAGCGCTGTTTGAGCTGCCGCACTGCTTGCGTGTGAAGCTCTGTCCATTTGAAATTAACGTCTTTACGCGTCAGATCAACTAGCGTCCGGGCGACGTCTGCATAGTCCGGTCCCATGAACATACGACAGTAATTTATGGTACCGAGGAACTGAAGCACCTGCGTCCCGTTTTCCAGCACCTCAAGCCAATGCCGTATGGCTTCGATTTTGTCTTATGCAGGTTTGATCCCCGCAGCAGAAATGGCATAACCCAAATATGTAATTGATTGCCTTGCAAGCTTGTGTTTGCGGAATTTTTGGTAGAATTGATGTGTAAGAAAAATACTTAGGACTTGTCGCAGGAGAGAAACGTGCCAAGAGAGATCGATACTATAGATAAGCACTTCATCTAGGTACGCAATAACGCCCTGTTCCAAAAAAGGTTGTAGATAGACATTAATGTTGACCTGGAACGTAGCTGGAGCACCCTTAAGGCCAAAGGGCATTACTCGGTACTCGAAAAGCCCGAGAACGGAACGGAAAGCCTTCTTCCAACGGTCTTCCTTAGCCATATGTATTTGATGGAATCCTGCTTCAAGGTCCAAAATGGAAAAATACTTGGCGCCTCCCAGCATCTCCAGAATGGTTTGAATGGGAGGTAGTGGGAAATCAGGGGCTATTGTAAGGGAATTTAGAGCCTGGTAATTAACAACCATGCGCTTCTTCCGCTCCCCGGAGCCATCATCACGTTTTGTCTGCCATGATCGTAGGAGAGCGTATAGGAAAATAGGTTTTCCGATCCAACCATTGTTCAATAATTTACCTATTTCCTGTTTGTGGAATGTGAGCTGATCTGGGGTCATACGGTATATCGCAGATTCTGCTGGAAGTTTTCCAGGCACCAGTAGGATATGGCGATCATGACGGCGCTTCGGCGGTAATCCTTTAGGTAAGTAATCGGGGAAGGACGCTCGATACTCCTGCAACACCTGGATAATCTCACATGGAACATCCTGCGCCTCTGTCGAATTTATCCATTCATCGAACAGAGTGTGCTCGAGTTTTGCCATGGGCCAGGGAGACCCCTCTTCACCCTCCGCTGCCGTCAAGGCAGTGGAGGCAAAAGGACTACCCCAGCCGGAGGACGTGGGTTGATTCCCAATTAACACGCAGCAAAACGCGCCTTGCCATTCATCCGAGAACCTTACGGGCACTGCCGAACCGGCTCCGGGCAAAGCCAGTATGAGATGCAGACCCTGCAGTGGTGCCCTGCGACTCTTTGTGTCAGCCGCGGCCTGATGAACGAGCGACGTTATCCGTGCCTTCGCCTTAGTCTTCGCATGGGACTTATACCTTTTAGGTGGCGGTCGTAGGAATATAGCTGTCTCCTCCGCTAACATACCCGCCACTTGTTTGGCCAATATTTCATATGCTTGCTCTGTCGGGGTCCTTGGGTGGACTACGGTGGGATATTCACCTTGCAGGTTTTCTTCACCAGTCCTAACGAACGGTAACTCGCACCACTGGCCATTTACATAGGTTCGGAGTCTGTCGGACTGGAAATGCGAGGCCACCTTATGTTCCGTCAGCCAATCCAAACCCAAGACTAAGTCATAGGAAACGGTTCCCACTAAGAAGTCCCCGGAAAAGCGTGCATGCCCGCGCCACATGGTCACACCCGTCACAACCCGATCAATGCGTGTCAACCTGTAGCTACGGTGAAGCTATGCTCTTGTGGAAGTCTCCGCACCTTGAGCTGCAGTCGTTCGACTGTTTTGGGACTAATGAAACTTGTCGAAGCCCCAGTCTCCAAGAGGGCCTCACATGGAATCCCTGTGAGCTCACTGCGAAGCACCGCCGTCGCACCCAGATAGCACAATGCTCCCCCATTGGTCGTAAGGCTCTTTCGTGCAAGTTTTCCGCCACCAGTGTGGCGCAAGCTCTGTTGCGTCTGGCCTGCAGCCGTCTTCTGTTGCCTCTGCAGACTTCCTGCTGCTAGCTGTCGTCGCGCCCGGAGCATCTTCACTCAGGATCGACGCCGACCCAGACTCCCACCGCGCTTCCGAAAGCGGCTGAGTCCCTTCCGCGTGCCCATCGCTCGTGTTAGTTCCTTCCGCAGTGTTGAGGAGTTGCTTTTCCCACTCAAAGGAGACTAGAATGGCATTGGGGCCTGTCGCTACCGCACACACCATCCCTTTCCCATGGCTACGCGGCCTAGAACGTTCGTCTCCAACCACGCCTAGGCCCCCTTGTTTAATCGTTCCGTCTTCTCAGTGCTAGGACGTGTCGGCTGCCTACTGCTCTTGTCCTCCCCTTGGTCCGGCCTCGTTCGTAAGTAGGACAGCCCCGAGCATAGTGTCCCACACCGCCACACTTCTTGCATATTTCTCCCGGACGTTTGGTTCGTTCTCCCCTGATGGGGCAGGCACGTGCCGGATGTCCGCAACCCTGACACTCATAGCAGTTCGCGTGGGTTCCCCCAGGGCGATTTTCGATTTCCTGGCGCCGTCGGGGTCCATTAGCTTGGATAGCAGCCCTGATGGCTAGACTGGTCCTTTTTCGGAGCTCCAGTACGCTCTGTTTGGGCTCGTAGAGGCGTGCTGCGGCTGCCGCCGCTTGCTCCCACGACTAATACTTCACCTGCCCGTTATTGGTGATTAGAAGATGAGGTCCGTCGGTAGCACAGTGCAGTAGTAGGCAGCACGTTCGTGGGGGGCGACACCTAAAGCATGCTTCGCTACAGCCGCAAACTGGTCCGTGTATTCCTTCGGGCTACCATTCCACCGAACTTTAGCCAACTCCGTTAGCAATTGACTCCGCGACATTGTTTTGTCGAACGGCTCCAAAAGCCTGCGCTGTATCGTCGCCCAGTCGCTTAGGTCGATAGTTTCCTGTAGATATATCCAATACGTTAGAGCCGGGCCCACAAGGTGGTCAATAAGTGCGCTTCCCCACTCGCGCGGCTCCAATCCCATCTGGGTGTATCAGCGTTCGATGCGCAGCAAAAAGGCCTGCACAGTGCTGCCATCTTCTGGTAGTATGGGAAACGTTGCGCCCGATTCCCCGGTCCCGTCTATAATAGTTCTTATCACACTCATAGCGGACTGGAATTGCTCCCACGTGACGGAGGGACTGTCCCCTGGCATAACATTGGTCATAGGGATCATCTGTGGGGGCGCCTCCTTATGCCCATGCGGCCGCTCTGCCATGGTGGGCTTCGGAGTAGCATGACGATGATGGGCGGGTGTCCCGCTTGGCATTTTGCTTACTGACATAGTAGACGTCTCCTGCTGTGTGGGGCCAATAACGCGTCCGTTGCGGAGATGCATCCCTTACCGAGCGAAAATATATAGTTGTGAATCATTAAAACATAGTATTTCTACTCCCAAATCCGGAAAGAACAAAGATTTCAATCACGGAACAGCCCTCAAATGTAGTGCACAACACCTACTGCTGCGACTACGCTGCTACCTGCCCCCTCGAGTAGGAGCCTCTGAAAACCGTCTACCTTCGGCGCGTTTCCTTGAAACAGTAGTTCAAATATCACAAAATGCAGTTATTTATAGTTTTTCAAAGTCTGTTTTCTTGAAAATCCCCCCCACTCGGGGCTCTCGCCTCCTAGGCCCTGTGGGTAGGAGGCCTGCACCGGTGCCGGCGCTATCGCCAGCTCCAATCTCCAGGTATTTACAGACACGTCTAGTGTATACATGCTACTTCGCCGACAAATTGCCTTACTTCGAGACCAGTAAGAGGGTCCTGTCGTCGTTCAGCGTTATGACCTCTTGTAGGTCGCCAGCTAGCTATCTTCTATAGGTCACCAGCAAGCCCTATTGTAGTGCCTGTGCACTACAATATTGCTGTTAAATTGACTTACTTCGTTACTAGTAAGAAGTTTCTGCGCTCGTTCTGCGTGCTGACCTCTTATAGGTCACCAGCTAGCTACCCTGTCAGGCTAGCTGAAAGCCGTATTGTAGTGCCTGCGCGCTACACAACTCCTTGGGCACAGGTCATGCTTCTGCAGAACGGAAACATCAAGAGCGCAGACAGTAAGGTAGTACAGAAGGTCCTCACAAACTACTTATTACTGCCCCGAAAACAATAGCAGCAAAACATGAGGCCTGAATTGACTAAAATGATTGACTGGAATAATTATAATGAATGGTTCACTAGATTTTCCACTTTGGTGAACTTCGATGCATGTAAACGATGGCAATTGCACGCGAAGCCTGGAGGACCACTGGTCAGCAGACTTTTCGATGTTCCTATGTGCCTCCGTCACATAGAAAGCTACGCGTGTAGAAGCTTCTGAGTCTTTAACCATAATCTGTTTGTGGCCAGTGAGTGCATTTTGAGATCTGCAACGGCAAGTTTCGGCTGTCGTGGAGGAGCAGGCTTGGATGCAGAACTGTGCATGTTTTTCGTGTTATAAGTTTTGCAGCATGCACGTACATATTGTGCCACTGGAAACTGTGCCTCATTGTTAGAAGAGCTGAATGCGTTCGTGTGAGGCTACGAGAGTTGTTGGCTGCCTGGGAGCCCAGGCAATTCCGCTTTAGTTCGAAGCAGCAGAACAGCCTGACAACCCACGCTAGGCAAAGCGACCCTTTGAAATAGAACTGTTAAGAGTGCAATGGACCACCTTACTAGGGTTGTGAGGTAAATAATGCGAGTGAGTGTCGGCCAGCACTCTCCATAGGAGCTACCAGCAAGCGATGCTGAGGCGCCTAATAACGTAGCGGTTCGTGAGGCACCCTCTGCCGCCGCGTCAGAAGTACGCTCAGGCAGAAAAAAAGAAGAAATATCTGTTCCTTATATAGATATGGGCGATACAAGAATTACGTCCTTGGCTTTTCCAACGCCTTTCCTTGCAAGAAAGTGCTACTTATTGTATAGTTCTGCGTAAGAACAGTTTATGGTTGAGCTTGGTAAGTATACTGGCACATGTATCACACGCATATTCAACTTTAAAAGTCGCCAACAAGGTCTTGAATAGATTTTCCTTCGGTTTTAAGTGCTTGTTCTATTATTTGCAAGACTCTGGTACTCTCTGCCAATTCCTTCCGGATGGCAGTTTCGTTGGTCGCCTTCCCCGTATGCTCCTTCTTTATCTTCGTTTTCGGCTTTTTCTCGACCATTCTTCCGCTAACCTCGAAAACGAGTGCACCGTTCAATTTTTGTATGGTGGAATCATCTACCAAGAGAGTGAAGCTCTGAACACACAAATTAAAGGATAATGCTGGCAGTGCCTATTCAAGGAGCGGCTTTGCTTTTGCATAGTGAAATCATGTACTGAAAGGGTGAAGTGCTAAACACACAAAATAAGGGATGACGTTGATTATGACTATTCAAGGAACGGCCACATAAAATAAAGCATAATGTTGGTAATATTTAATCAAAGAGTGGCGTGGCTTCTCAGCATTGTACTGCAGAACAAGGGCAGAAACACGTCAGCAAAACAGTACATGCGCAGTTTAAAAAGGTTTACTCTCACAGTGAGTCCACTGGAATCAAAGTACTGTGACAAACCTTTGAATTATTGAACACGGGACTGCACGAAGCTTGCTCCATTGAAGTTGCTAAGACATCGGTTTCGCCGTCGAGCCATCGGTACAAAACCTGCATTACAAAAGGTTACACTTCGCACATATCTGACGGCTCCGAAGCACTATCACACTTCACTATGTTTAGCGTGCATGGAGACATCCTGCGTACCTGTGGCTGCCTGGAAAACTTCTCTGGCAACTCACTCGCGGAGTGAACCGTTATCGTAACGACCATCTCACGGCCTCTAATATCCTCTACTGAGTACAGCGCATCTATATCTACTTCTTGATTATCGCTTTCTTGGCTGGTAGGCCTTAGAATGGCAAAAACAAGCGGAAACTCCTGCAGGCCGTTTTTGTTTTAATTCGCCGTTGTGCTTTCCATATATTTGGGCGCTATTAATGAAGAGTGATAAAACACTATAACGCATTCGCCCCTTCAACTTCGTCATGTGTGTGTAACAGTTCCTCGTTCAACTGAAGAGTTTCATCATTCCTCTATCCACCTACCCGGTTTGATCATTTTGGCTTGCAGGAACTTCAATGCCAACTGAAAGCGTGAGCTTCCCACAGGCCTTCCCGTTAGCATCAATAATTGGAAATACCTCAGCCTTTACAGGCAGTAAGCACCGGATCGTATCCAAGTACAAATAGCTCTCACCAATGACCTGTCTCGCATGTTGCTCAGGGCGATAGCTCTAGTCATGGGAAGAAATTCAACAAATGTGCCCAGATCCTTTTGCAAGAATATATCTGAGCTCTTTGCAAGTTGACCCGGCACCCAATGTGCCTTGCTCACCTGGTAACTTTCCATATCTAGTGCAAACGGATCTGGTGCACCTCCTTTTAGATACGACTCTGTCTTGGGTCCAGCTGCCCACTGCGTATATAGTTCCCTCATTTCGAATATCTTTTTTTCAAACAAATCCAGTCTCCAGATCTGGACGGCATCTGAGTCTGCTCTTTGAACCCTGATCACGATCTCTGTTTGCTGCAAGGATGTGCCAATAAGCGTGCTCCTGACACCGCCAGCTCCTCTTGACCGAGTGCTGAGCTTGAGGGAGAAATAGACACCCACTCCGAGCTCCTGCGCATACCCATTTGCTTCATCCACTAGCAGCGCTGTTCTGCTCATAACTTCTTGAAGAAAAATGTGAGCTGCTCTCTCAGCGTCCTGCCTTTTCGTCTCTTCCTCTCTTTCCCTTTCCAGAAGCATCCGTCTCGCTTTCAATTCGTCCTCTTTTCTGTTGAGTTCCTGCTGTACAGCTCGTTTCTCAGCTTCAATTAGCTTTAGCTTCTTTTCTGCTGCCGCTTGGTCTTCTTCACTAGCAAGCACGAGAGCCTCTTTATCCTTCAGTTTCCGCATGAGCTCCCTTTTTTCAGACTCAAAAAGCTGAAGGTCTGCCTGCAAACGTTCCCACTTCTCCTTGTCTGCGGTCCTGGCTGGCCTAGCATCAGGAGCTTGTTGGCTCGAGAATTCGTCAACAACATCTTTTGTTGCTTCCATCATGCCTTCTTCCCATGTAGGCAGCTCCTGGTCCATATCTGTCGGATCAACGAAGACGTACATATTATTATGGCCAAAAATTATCCTATCTTTGTGAGTCAACAGTTTTGATTCCGTCTCTCCAAGGACCACTCCGTTGACGGACGTCTTCCCGTATGCAGTCAGCTTCACTTCATAGGTCTCATCCCCTGTATCCTTTCCACTCTGCTGAATTCGTTTCACATCGATAATAGCATGCTGGGAAGCCACACCGAGGCCTCCAATGCGGAACGTAGGCTCAACTTCCCCTCCAGGCTTCCCAATAGTGACTTGCCCTTCGTTCAGAGCGAAGACAATTTTTCCACTAAGGAACGGGTCTTCATTGAGGTTGCTGAGGTGAGGCACTGTGAGTTGTCCACTGCCTCTGACTTCAACGCTGGCTTCCCTTTTTCTCGCGGCTTCAAGCTTGTCTTTCCACGATGTTGTCATATCCTGCAAAGCTTTCCTGTTTGCCTCAAGCTCTTCTTCGTACTGCCTTCTAATTTCTTCTACCATTTGATGATCAGGCGCTGAGCTGGGCAGACTGTCTGGTAGCCCTCCACCCATTGCCTGCAGCAGCAAGGAGTAGCAGGCCTTATCCATAGAGCATCACAAGGGTCAGGTTTGATGCTTTACAAGGAACACAAGATGCATAGTTCCCCTAGAGTGGAGTGCCGTCAGCCTACTTTTTTCAGCCTTTCATTTTCCTCTCGAAGCTCCCGAATAAGCTTCTCCAGAGGATTCTCATTAACTGTTGCCTCGTTTTTTATTTGCTTCACTCTGTCTGAGATCGTACACATTTCCGAGAGCATAGACATTATTACCGTATGAGCTTTTAGGGCTTCCGAATACTCGCGAAATCTGCCTGCATTGTGAAACCGACGCGGGGCGCCAAGCACCCTGCGTTGTCTTATTGTCACTGTTATATTAACAGAATATTACCTGCATAGCGGAGAGTGCTAAGAGTTTCTTCATAATTAACTGTTGCTGGTGATAGTGCAGCTATCATGCAAGTCTTGCTGTTCCCTCCAAGGGCCGTCTGCAGGATGCGTGTAAGAGCAGAGTCCCTGTACGGCACAACCTGCACTCCGCAAAACGTATCTAGAGGGACACTCGAAGCAACGTAGGATCCTCACGATTTCAAATTTTGTCGTCGCGCACGAAGCACCCAACTTTTGCGTTTTGGGTTCCGTTATGGGATCATTGGATGCTGCATTTAACCTGGTGTGCAGCTCAGGTGCATTCGCTAAGGACCTTGAATGATGAGTTTACTGAATGTTTAATCAGTACGATGAGGGACAGCTCGGCACGTTGGCGAGATAATTAAAATGTTAGGGAGTTGCTGGAAGCAAGCGAAAATTCGTCGTACCTTTCTTACCCTAGCCTGCTGAAAAGATGTGACACTCTCTACACTGCAGAAGTGTTCTCTGATCTTAGTGATATCCGGCTTCATTTTTATTCTGTATTGGACTATATTTTTCGTGAGTGCCTGATTAAGCACACTTCGCACCTGTCCGGGCTTCAGCTTGCCAGCAGCCTTATCTGCGAGAGCAGATATCACATTTCCTAGCGCACTAAGGCTTTGGTTGATAGCGCAACCCTCCTTCAAACGATCTCCTGTCGCCCCCGTAGATCCAGCTCTTTCACTTCCAGCAAGGTCTACTAAGCTGATCTCTGAAGATTTTTGCGAGACAGGCTCTCCAGTCTCAGCTGTGCATTGCGGAAATCACACAACTGACTCATTTGGGCCACAGTTGCACTCATCGCAAATGCAGTGTGGCTTTTGTACATGAGAAACTCCTCTCATACAGCGTTCGTTGCCTTCAGAAATGCTTCTTTGTTCGTGTGGTGCAGCCCTTGGGAAAGTCCTCATGAAGCCTTTGACATTCTTATGAATGTCGATGGCGATCCAAGCAATTCCAACCATACAGTCTAGCTAAAAAGCTACTCAGAGCCGCTATCTTAACTAGCGCATGGCGCTCTCTGTTGCAGCGTGGACGAAGCAACTCTGCCGAGGACTGATGAACATACCGTCCATGGTAATTTGACGGAAGTTTATTTGCAGAACGGTGTGCGCCCGTGAAGATGTAGCATTCATAAGCGTTGCTCCGACAGTTCGGTTGGCTGTTCCTGAAATTTCAACCTTCATTGTGCTTCACTTTTGTCAGCCAAACACATAAACTAGACCATGCGACCAGGAATGGAAACATGCATTTTCGTTTGCGCAGAAGTCCGCCCCGCCAAAGTTTGTATCACTGAATTTTTTTATCGCTTTCAAAGAGATACACTTGGGTAAATTTATTTCATAATTCTCAGAAATACTGATGCTTATTCCTTGCCTTCAAGTTAGGACTGTACTAATTCCGATATAGTTGCGAATGCGACAATACATCGATTTATAAACAATTTCCCTATGCAGAACGTGAAAGAATCTCACCTTCGTCAAGTTTCGCTTGTATGGCTGCGTATGAATCAACAGGGCACTTCGAAAGGTCTTGCACAAAGGTTCCTAGCTGGGGAGTATGTCTGATCTTGAGACCTCCTTTTGGCCGTTTCTCTATCGGCATCAGCAGATCTTGCACTTGTTCGTTATATATTTCTAGCATGCTAATTTGCACTTCCGCACGTAGATTAGGGTCTTTATTTGCCCCGATACGCATGAATATTTCCTCGCACGCGCGGACTATGATACCCTTGTTGGCACCGTATCCCACCATGGAATAGCTCTTACCAGCTCCAGTCTGCCCATAAGCGAAGAGGCATGCGTTGTAGCCTTCATAAGCATTGTTTAGCACATCCTTTCCAATTTCATTATACAGACGTTGCTGATCTGCGTACTTTGGGCTTATGGGTCGTGAGTATCCTGTTTCATCATTTTCAAAGCCGTCGTGAGACCAGTACGAAAAGTCGAAGGTAAATGTTTTTTTTCCACTCTTGGGTTCTTCTTCATTTTCAATTGTTGTGGCTTTCCCTTCCATGCTAATGCATAGCTGTGCATTCATGTTCCTCTCACGGTCATTGAAGGGACGCACGCGAACGGCTACCTTTACCGATGACATCCTTTACGAACCTTTACTTGTATTTTCTAGTTCTCAAAAGCTATTTGAGCTTCTGTGAGTGGAACGACTGTGGCAGCAGTCGTATACACTCGCTCTGTGGATCCTGGCAGCAAGCACAGCCAATGCACTTTTACCTGAGGGTTCTGAGTGTTTCTGGATAGTGTCTAATAATATTCAGACACATATATGGTCAGTAAAAATGCTATTGCTCCCTTTTCATGTCCCACGACGCTTCGTGAGTCGCCTGTCTGGAAGTGACCTAGCACGCCGATGTGCTGGTGGCCTGTCATGTCTTGAGGGCGCATACGGTCATGGTTTTGTGTCTATCCACACGTTGCATACGCTTCTATTTTTTGAATTATTAGCCAGTAGCTGAAAAGCGGAGGCTTAGTTCGGAAGGAAGAGATGGTCTGCAGGAATGGTGACCACCGTACCCCAAACCATTCTATGGTACCAGACGGAAGTAAGGAAGCGAATGAAGCCAGCAAGCACTGACCAGCTTAACGTGCACATATGCCTATATCCTGATTGAATATTTTTTCTTAAACGAAGAGATATTCTACGGGCTTGGATTTCAGAGGCAAACAGGCGTGTTATGCCAGCCTTTCTGCTCCACCGTTTAGTGTGCACTTGCAGCAGCGGAGTGTCGAGCCCGAAGTTAAAGACAAAAGAACCAAAATTTGATTGAATTCATTCTAAAAGTCTTATATAGAGTTGCTTCTCTGAATTTAGATGCAGAAGAACTGCAGTGCTCGGCAGCAGCGGCATGCGTACCCAAGGTTGGCGTCACCGCATAGATGGTATTACTAGGGAGCCAAACGAGCCATTCCTAGAAAGAATGGCTGCATAATAAAACGTTAGTTGAAATCACAAGCCATGAGAGTCCCTGCTAAGTCCAAAATATGTCTTGACTGCATTGTGAAGCTCATCATATTTCGGGGGGTGATGGGACGTACATGTTCTCCAAGTGGCTTTTGTTCGTAATGTTGGTACTTTCATGACCTGAGAGAGTTTGGCTTGCTTTTCTATTCCTACGGACATCTTCACGTACCCGCTCTGGCGGTAGCACGCAAAGCCAGCACAACAGCAGCATTGCGAATGCCTGCGGTTTTTGGAGTTCTGGCTAGCTCAATACTCGTGGATACAAGTCTCGGCGAATGTTTGATCACTTTGGTTTGAAAAGTCAAGCAAATAAACAGATTTTTGGTGAAAGCAGAGTGAAATCTGACTCAAAAAGCCAAACCGAGCCATACTTGTGGGCGCATGTGAAATGTGTCATCGGAGACTATCAAAACTTACCTTAGTTGAAGATGCAGAGGTGGGCACCAATATTGCTGAGGACTATTTGAAAACTGAGAGCGGCCTAAGCTAGTAGCCAGAAGCAAATAACAGGCCCCCTGCCTCCGCCGCTGCGGCCTCGTTCGAATGGTTTGGTACCGCCAGCGTATCCCCTTGAAGAGAAATGCTTAGTATTGCAGGTCATGAAAGTACCAACATTACGAACACAGCCTCTGCAGGCAAACAGCCAAAACATCACTCACGGAGCTATTCAGACAGGCGTAACTTACGGTGGTAAACACTGTTTCTTTAGAGCATACTGCTAAACAATGCTACATCCTCAGAGTGCCAACATGACGTGCAACCGCTGGAAAATGAAGCATATGAACCCAAAACTATTAAATATAGCCGTGAATTCCAAAGATGCACCGTTTGAGAGAGTCAATTCACAAAGAGCGCTAGCTCTGATTCATGGGCAATTGGCTGTCTTTGTGTCCATTCCACTAACATTATGAATTATTTTTCCGCACGACATGAGGAGAATCAGCCATCACTGCGATGAAACCGTTAAGCTTTCTTATAACGCTTTGAGAGCCACCTTCGTGCCTGCTGTCAACTCTCCCCTCCATATCTTTCTGCTTCTTGTAAGTCACCCTCCATTCGGGCTTCAAGAAGCTTCAGCTCGTGTTCCTGTAGCTGCAATTCCTCCTCTCTTTCCTGTAAAGCTTTTTCAACGTACTTTGTGTAGGCTGTCAGTCTCTGTTGTCCAGTGTCCACCTGGGATGTGTAGACCGACGCCTCGTGCCGCAGATGGCCTTCTTGCTGTGCCACCTCGCGAGAAAGCTTGAGCAGTTCAGTGTAAGCCTCATTCTCTAGCTGATGTAATAGTGACACAATGTTGCCGCTGCTGAGTTTCAGCTGCGTGGCCATCACGCGAAACCTGTCCGCAAAAAGAGTAACTTCTTGATTTGCAAAAAAACGAATATCTTCTGGCAAAGCAGCGTATTGCGCGTCGGATAAAGCACTAGTTACCACGTCCGGTGGCAATTCCACAACCTTCAGCGGTTTTTCTCGCCTCTTCCTTTCAGCCTCTTCAGATTTCCGCAGCTCAGCAGAGTTGTCTTGCCTCTCGGTGGCTATTCTCTTTCGAAAATGTGTCGTTGCATCTGCTTGCTCCTGCAGTTGCTTTAATTGGCTTTCCTTTTGCTGCTCTTCCAGAATTTCTCTTCGGACACGAAAATTGCACATAAGCTCTTCAAAAAAGAGCTTTGCAGATCTCAGGACTGAGCGATGCTCGATTTTTCGAAGTCTTTCCATCGCCCTGATTTCCGCAGAACGGTACGCCAGAGAGCGCAGAAGAACGGACAAAAAAAAGCTAAAACAAATAATGCCCATAAAGAAGAGATAGGGGAAAACGAAAGCGCCGGCCATGAAAGCATCTGACTGGAAGAGTTGCGATAAGGGGAAGAAGCCCGTCGTTAACATTATCGTGGAGATAAACGAATTCTTGACTGTTGAGTAGTTCTCCATGTGACGTCCAAAAGCCAGAAAGCATAAATAAGAGAAGCCAAGAAACAGGAGTACCGTGCCTATCAGGACCTGTATCATCTCTTCTGCCGACGAAGCGAGAGCATAAAACATCATGGTCATGCGCTTGTGTTTGCGCCCAAGTCGGAGTAGACGAAGAAATGCAGCAGCCATGATCGCAGCGGCTAGCTGTGCATAGGTGCCCAGCAAGGCAGATGCTGAACTAAAGGCCTCGAAGAGAACACCAGCTGCTGTAGTTGCCTCCGTTTCCTCTGTGGCCCCGGAGGCGGCAGCAGCTGAAGCTGTAACGAGATCATCTGCTAAGTTGAAGACTTCTGAGTGGGGTGAAGAACACACGTGAAGCACCCACACCGAAATTGCACAAGCCAATACAATGAAGCCAATGATATCAAAGGCATTGAAAAGGTCGTCCACAAAAAAGACTCCTAAGCATAAGCCGAAGCTGTAGTCTTCACGTTCCTCTTTCAGTTTTCTCCTCAGCCGGCAAAATTCCACAAAGAAAGAACACCCGAAAAAAAGGAAAAGTGCTGCGCTTGCCACTTGCAAAGCCACAGCAGCTACTGTCGCAAAGTCCCACGTGGCGTACGGCTGCAACTGGAACGCAAAGGGAAAGCCAGCATAGTTGTAAGATTTTCGACAGAATTATTCCGGCTGTAAGTTACAAACAAGATGATACCTGCAAGCTTTGTCTACAAAGTTCAGCATACACTCACCTTCCAGGACTCGACGGAAAGGCTGGGTGCAACAGTGCCACCAGAATCTCGACGAAAGCTGAGCAATAGCTCTAAGATCATATTGCCAGAGTTAGGAGACAGTAAGAAAGTGTGAAATGCCAGTTCTGTGCCAACGTCCCTCAAAATATCTTGATCTCCAAGCCCTTTTAGGAAATCTCTGAAAGTGGTATTTTCGAAGAGAGGCTGGTACACACACTGGAGAGACTCGCAGGTAAAACCTAGCTGAACAGGATATATTGATTCTGAGCGGGTGTTCAACGTGACGCGTATTGATCGCGTAGTAATTGCTGCATTCCAGTTGCACAGCACCAGCTGCTGATATGTGCGACCTGCAGTCACGCATCCCCAATGCAGTAAAGCATTTGTGAGCACCAAACTTGCGATTCGAATGAAGGCTGCCCACGAAGCTTCATAAAGGCTCAAGCGTGCCACTTAAAGCCCCAAAGGCAGAAGAATAGACCTACCATCTATCAAAGTGCTCTGTGGAAACGTCTGGTTGAACAATGCAGAACTAGTGTGGGAGCTAAAAAGCGCCATCAGACCCTGGTCAGATTTCAGCCAACTATAAAGGCTTCTTGGTGAAGTAATGCTAAAAACGTGCTGAATAGGGAAACGTATCGAAACGTTTACATTTGCCAAACCTGCAGAAAAAGCGAAATATATCGACCACGGGGCAACTTGCTCTGGTGATTGGATGCGACTCCGCTTACAGACTATCACGAGGCTGCTCCAAGACAAATATTCGGAAATCTTGAAAAAACCTATATAGACAGCGGCACCGATGTGCAAGAATAGCCGCCATAGTTCAATACGGTAGCCTTTATTCATTCCGCACCTAGGGCAGTGTCTTCACAAGCGAGCGTGACGGGGTCCAATGGGAACCCCGTCTTCGCAACGGCCCGGCCAGCCATGTCTCTAATGTCAGCCGAAGTATCAACCGACAGCTGAACAAAATTCAAGCGATGGTTCAACAAACACTAGCTGGTTCCCTCTCAGCGAAGTATAAAAGCATACTAATGCTAGTGTCCAGAGCTGGGGACGTTTTTGAAAGAGCTACTGGGAAATTGTGCTGGTCTTGCAGGAAGTAGGGGACGGAAACTGAATCCTCACCTGCAAGCTGACGGTAGCCACGGTGATGGCAACAAAAGCGACCACAAAGAGTTTTTTCCAAGCATCTTCGTGATCTTCTTGTGACTGGTTTCTTACAAGAATGTATACCTAAATACAGTTGCGAACACACAGCATTACATATATTTGAAGCACTAGATGCTGCAGCTGATCCTAAAGATCGCGTCAGGTACGTGAAAAAAAATGCGATATTGACCTTAACTTTCCATATATGGCTCCTAAAAAAAATACCTTGTCTACAGAGGGCGCAGGGTTTTCGTCTACAAGCGTCGTTGGAATATCTGGCTGGAAGTAGCAGTCCGAACTCTCCTT